GTAATTATCAAGAAAAAACACCGATATTTATCGTTAGACATGGTGTTTACGATGCATCTTATTTTTAAAATTTTGTCATCACGATATTTTAAAAAATATCGTTATTTCCCGATATGTCTTGATATCTCCCAGCTCCACCATTTATAACCATCGGTTCGTCAACTAAAAGTGCGTGTTGTTATTAAACCAAATTTGATCATGCAATGCATTCCTTAAAAAAAAAAAAATTACTAAAACCAAAGACCTGCAGCTTTTATCATTAGTTATAAACGTATAAATTGCGAAAAAAAAATTTGCGAAAAGATTGAGTTAACCGCTTTTCAGGATAATTATGAAAAACTCTTTGATGAGGATTTAATCAGTATGAGGCGTACTTTTTTATTTAAGTATTTAGATGGGAAGCAATCCTTCTAATAAAGTTCATCTATAACAGGGGTTTCCAACTTACATGAGGCTGGGAGCCGCAATTAAAAACACCAGTCAAATGGCAGGCCACAACTTTATCAAAATTTCATATAGGACTCTTTTATGTTTGAAGGAACATTAAATATTGCTGTCAGATTTTTATCAAGGTTTCTTAATATTAAAAAACAAAATAACAAGCATTACAAATAATGCTTGTTGCTTATCATTTTGAATCTTCTCTTAATCAGAAACTTACTGAAAATATTTTTTTTAAAATTTAATTCTGTGATAAATTAACATTTTTTCGACTTATTAGGAATTATAGCAACAACAAAAAAATTCTCGAGCATCTGAAAAATTTTTTTTTTCCGCTCATGAGCTATTCAATGCAAGGAATTTAGATAAGACATGATATTCATTCACTCTTTCATGCCCTTTAAAATTTACAAATGTAAATAATTTCGTCCAAAATTAGTGGATTCAAAAAGTTAAATCGGAGAATTTCTTCGAGAAAATTTCTGATGCGCACATGCTAAGTTATATTCACGAAATACAAAAAAATGAAAAAGAAAAAAAAATTTAAAAAAAAGAAAAAAGGCAACATGCACGATTATTTTTGTATTCGAATAAATATTAATCATTCCATGATTTTCTTGGATGCAAAGTCTGAGAAATAATTTTTTTTACACCGTTGGTATGTTAAATTTCACAGAAACGAAAAAAATAGTTTTTTTTTCTTATTTTTAACGAGAAAAGTAAGATTTTTTACGAAAATTCTGCGCAAAAAAATGAAAATTAATATATTTTTGTTCGTGAGCCGCAAAAAGAGGCTGCGAGGGTCGGATGCGGCCTGCGGGCCGCCAGTTGGAAACCCCTGATCTGTAAAATAATTCTTTTCAATATAATTTCGCAACTAAGGCTATTTTTGTACGAACTGACCAAAATGTATCATTATCGTCATAGTTGTTGACATACAGTTCGTTTTCTCGTAATACAACACCCAAAGGCGGAACTGAGTATCATTTTTCAAGATCAATTATTAAATATGGGAGTTTTAAGAAGTAGAATTTTTCTTCGGTGAATTATCTCAAGGGTTGCTTTATTACGAGTAAATACTCAAGGTAATAATTTTATTCATAAATAAGCATTTGTAGTAAATAGAAGAAATATTTCTCTACATATAAAAGTTTTTTTTTATTGATTTTGATAATAAAGTTTGAGAAGTATTTTCGCAATCAAATTTTAAAAAATATCTATCTTACTGAATTAGGTTACAATAGCTTGGTTAGGAGAGCTGTCCAAAGTTTGAACAACTTAATGTTAATCTTAATTTTTGTGTATTACACCTCACAACGAGAATTTATTTAGTGATTTGAAAAAGTTTTACACACAATTATAAAATTTGTTTGATCAATGATAATTCCATACAAAATAAAACTTTTTGTAAATATTTATTATTTTTTGTTATTTTATTTAATGATAAAGATTTTTTATCATCATCTTAAAGAATGCGATTTTAAATGGCAAAATACAAAATTTGAGCGAAATCGGCTGGAGAGTGCCTGAGAAATTGAATTTTAAAAACATGACTTTTTTAAAATTTGATTTCTTGAGCCGTGGTGGCCCAGGTGATAGAGCGCTAGCCTCCTAATGAGGTGACAACGTTCGATACCAGCGATGGCTGCTCGATTCGAATTACGCACCCTTCTCGCACTGACCACAGTGCTGCCGTAAATATCCTCAGTGGTAGACGAATCATAGGCTAGAGTCTCCTTGTCGTCGGGCTAACCGTGGGAGGTTCTCGTGGTTTTCCTCTCCATGTAACGTAAATACGGGTTGGTTCCCTCAAAAAGTCCTCCACGAAGACAAATTTCTCCCAATACTTGATCCAGGAGATCCCTTGTCTTTTGATCGGGTTCAAAATTGCAAGACTACGGATACGAACATTGGTAATCTCAAACCCTAAATTGGGTCAGCTGTTCAACGACGGTTATAAAAAATTGAAAAAAAAAATTCGATTTCTCGGAAACTATACCAGCGATTTCACTCAAATTTTGTATTTCACTATTCAAAATCGCATTTTTTTAAATGACTTAAAAAAAATTTATAACTTACATTTCAAAAGTTTTTGTTTATCATTAAATAAAATAATGAAAAATAATAAACTTTTACAAAAAGCTATATTTTTTTTAGAATTATCTTTCGTTGAATAAATTTTAAAATTGTGTGCAAAACTTTCTCATTTCGTAAAAGAAAAGAAAAAAAATCTCGAGATATTGTGCAATACACAAAATGAAAATTAACATTAAGGGCTTCAAACTTTGGACCGCTCATCTGACCAAACTATTGGAACCATACTTCCCACATTGCGGCTACCCCTATATTTTGGGGATCAGAAATTCGAATCCGCCAAATGAAAAGGAATGTTTATTCAGAGAAAGTATGCTTTTGTGTCTAATTTCGTAACTTAAAATTTCGTCTGCTCTAATTAATTAGCATATTTGAGGTCATCCTCTCGAACCATTACGAATTAGTCCTAGAACGTGAGGATCATTAGATTAAAACGTATTCTGGATGTTCCATTTATAATTTTTTTTTGCGCACTACATAAGTTTTATGTATACAATTTTTAGATTATGCGCATCATTAGAAATATTTATTATGTAAATTTTCCGAAATATTTAAAAAAATTTCATTTCAGTGGTTTTAAAACTTTAAGCATCTCCTTCTTCTTTATGAGTACGACAGCCCTTCACAGGCCCTGGCTACCTCAACTACAGACAATTTCCTCTGTTTCCTATCCATGGAGTTTCCCCCATTAAATAAGATTAATTAAATTTGGGATTAATTATATGCAAATTAATAAAATATAAATTAACGAAATTTAATTTAATTAAATTTGAAATTACTTAAATTAAATTTCTTATTGACGCTTTCTATCCAATAAATAAAATATATAATTGATACACAGTGAAAACTTCCGAATCAAATTACTTTAAAAAAGTTCTGTCACTCAAGGTGTAAACAACAATATTTACTGCTAAATCACTCTAATTAAATAAATATTACTGTAAAAATTACAATATAAAATTTTACAGTAAAAGTTGAATTTACGATAAAATGGATTTTACAGATACTGCACTTAGGCTGCCCTTAATTTTTGTCGTAATTGAACATGAATTTTTACAGTGTACAGTGGTAAGTTAAACTATGCATTTGCATTTGTAACAAATTCAAAATATTTTTAAATTACATATCCATAAAGAGTTCCTTAACTAAATTACTTTGGTTCTAACAGAATAAGCTAAAAAAAATATTATTTTGTTTTCCAAAAACTGTTCATTTTTATACATTGAAATATACCGTTAAAGAAGCGTAAAGATAATTAGGGGTTTATTGATTTTATATTGTACTTCAAAATGATAATTTGAATTGCAATGATAAATTTTCTTGTTTTTTTATAGTTTTTATACAAAGGTGTTTGTTGTAAAAAGTAAAAAAACATTTTTTCATATAATCTGAAAAAAGTGTTGTTGAAAATGGATGTACGCAGAGCTATTTCAAAAAGCTATAAATAACAATTCGTACAAACATTGGCGAACAAAGAGCACGTATCCTTTGGGCAAAATACAAACACAAATAAAGGAATAAAGTATAACTAGAAATTATTTGTACATCGTACTTCGGTTTTTCGTTGATTGATTGTTTCGTTGACTACTTAATAAATCAAGATAAATAAAAATATATAATTTTAAACATGAATTGATGATGCTGAGTAATATTTAATCATTTTTAATTTTGAGTTACAGACAAAATTGTTTTAAAGAAATGAATATAAATATTTGCTTTGGTTGAAATAAATTTATCTTTAATTTTTTTGGATTAGAATTGATAGAAAGGAATTTATACTATAATGAAATTAAAGATGATAATAGGAAGGTGATAACATTTTTTAAAAGAAAGTTTACTTTTTTCAACGTTGCATTAAAACAAAATGCCATTTAAAGCCATAAAAAAATTTTTTTTGGAAAACTATTAACATGTAAAAAAATAATTCAATTAAAAAGAATATCTCTGAAGCATTTTACGATTCTCTGAAAATATAATGTAACGGCTTAATTGTAACGTGTTAATTGGCATTTTGTAAAACCAGTTTTAACAATGAATAAGCTTTAGAATGCATTAAAACATTAGGAAGTTTTTCAAAGTATATATTATTTCTGTCAAAGATAATTTATTCAAAACCTTAATAAATGTCTTGTTTTAACAATCGATTACAACATGTTTTTATACCTACAAATTTAAATGTTTTCAAAATGACAATTGACGTGTTTTTTTTTAAATCAAAGAAACACTTTTTTAAAAGCCCTAAGAAATGTTTTATGTTAACAGCTCATCATAACATTCTCTTAGACCTTCAAATTCATATGTATCCTAATTTCACTATTATTTTTTATCAAATAAACCCTTTTTTAAGACCTAATAATTTTCCCATGTCAACAGTCGGTCATAACATGTTATAATACCTACTAATTAAAAGTGCCACTTAACACGCTCCTTACTACCATGGTTTTCAAATAAAAAAATTAACTTACCTTTATTAACTTCTTGCAAGACAGAATTATAGGATTTGGAGCATCAACAGTAAAATCTATCAAATCCCTATGCGAGAGTAATTTAGCCATTTGCATGATGACTCTTTCAGGTCTTAAGAGTCTCATTGGGAAATTCAAACCATCAGATAGAAATACTTTAGCATATAAAGCCTCCAATATTGGTAAACTTTGAGGCAGACCTTCAACAAACTCATCCATTGGTAAATCATCAACAATTGATTTAAATATAGAAGTATGTAACCTGTTGATGAAGTTTGCGGCTTCACGGTATTGTTGATTTTCGTATAGCAGTACCACGCGCCTTACAGCAACAGTTGGACTTATATCTGATATAGTCATACTGTTGATCTTGTATCCTTTAACCCATGGAGAATTTCTCCATGTTAACTTTTGAACATTTGTTCTTGTTGAACGTTCTGGTCTTATACAGCCTCCTCCAACAACTCCTGAACCACAGCCTATAGATTGACTGGATGTCCATGGTAAAAAATATGGAGGGCCACTGTTTATTAAAGGAGGAGGAAGTTGAAACATTTCCTGGTTATGTCTTGTCACGTAGTTGTCGAATATTTGTTTTTCATTCCATTTAAGTGTCAACAAATTTGTGCAATCACGTAATTACTAGAGCGGTAATTTGATGAGAAAAGCATGTACAGCATCACGAAAATCATGGCCAATATTTTCGGTGATTTTTGAAATCGCTCGATCACAATGCACGCAACACTTCTAAAATCATTTTCTTATAAAATTAGAAAACAACTGAACAAAAACAGCTGAAACGCGGACTATTTCATGAGATGAAACAATTATCTTTATTTAAGCACACATGATAACTCTAAAGCATCAAAGTTCTTTCAAAACATCATCTTCTGGGATCATCTTGAGAGTGTAAAACACGTTTTACACCACCTGTGTCGAAAAGGATGTGAAGCCAACCTAGAAAAATTGGCCAATAAGAAGTCGTATACACTTGACGAGCGTGAAATTCCCTGATCACCAGTCCCCACTCTTCTCCTTAACTCTAATTACATCTTAATGTTCAGCCCGGCAAATTCTGGTTTCAAAAGAATGTGGCCCGAGTAATATTATCGGACAGTATGTCAGTGGTTTCAGCCAAATCGCGTTTTTCGAAAACAAGATAGTGAAGATGCTGTTTTAAGTATGATTCAAGATGAGAGTATTAACTCATCAATAACGTAAAGGGGTTGGTTGATACAGAATTCCTCAGTTAAACCGGTCGGTCCAGTCTCACTATAATAAACTTTGTAGAATATATTTTAAGAGTAAATATTTGTAGATTTTGTACATATTTACTATATTCTTTTTGTTCTATACTTTGAAATCTGTTTTTTAATTATCTTTGACTAAAAATTGATTGTTAGATTGTTTTTTGTATCACGGTGACTTCTGGTGTTTCCATGTCTGCTAATAGGGGATAGTAATCTCTGTTGTTTCTGTTAATATTTACGATACTATTTCTCACTGTTGTAAGTACAAAATGCAGTACCCAATTACAGCAAAGGCAATTATGCCAAGGACTTCGATTTTCTAATGTCATAAATAGTAAAAAGGCGTATTTTTTATGCTATTTTCAGAAATATGAAAAAAGATACTTATTTTTAGCTTCGAAGAAATTTGATATTCATTGTTAGATTTTTATATCTTTTTTTGCTTCTTGGGTTTTATTTTCATGTTGATTAAAAAGACATGATTGATTAAAAAGACATGATCATGTTGATTAAAAAGACAAGACACATTTTCAGAAATATTTAAAAAAGTTATATGATGTTTTTAGAAATATGAAATGGAAAACTGCTTATTGGGTGTTAATCTTTGGTTTATAGTATTGGATTTACTTTTAGCTTCGAAAAAAATTGTTCATTGTCAGTTAGATTTTTATGTCTTCTTTTGTTCTTATGTCTTCGGTTTCTATTTTCATGTCTGGTTACTGGTATACTATGAATACTATTTCTCGCTATTGTAAATACAAAATGCAGTACCCAGATAAGACAATTATACCTAGAGCCTTGAATTTCTAATATCTAAGCATAAATAGTACGAAGGAAGTATTTTTTATGATGTTTTCAGAAATATGAAAAATTATACATGATGTTTTTAGAAATTTGAAATTAAAATTGTTTATTAAGTACTAATCTTTCGAAAGTTTGAGCATTAAAATATTGGATTTGTTTTTAGCTTCGAAGGGATTAAGTATTATTATATCTTCTGGTATATTTTTTAATAAGTGTAATGGTTTGGCACTATTAAAAAAGCATTATTTCATGAAACATTAATGTGATGTGCTATGAAGTTACTGGTTATGATTTTGCTTAAATCTACTTTTTTAAAAATTACCTTTCGACTAAGTTAAAAGAATGTAAAAATCCTCTGCAAACAGAAATGCTTAGTAAATAGTCTATTTTTTCTCTATTATTTATATATATATATA